GATAGAGTTCATGGGTCGGAAATATCAAAACAGTGTCTAGGCGGGAACAAACCTCTCTTTCTGAATCCTTGCCATTGTCTCCCTTCAAAACAGTGAATGTACCGAACCGAAGCAAGTCACCAAACGATTCTATTTTAAGCGATTTCCAATCGTCTACTCGTTCGTCTAGCTCTGTGAATGCCGAAGCCAGGTGTTCTTTGTCAATAGCATCGTTTGCAGAATCAAGGACAGATTGAATAGAGTCGATGGCACGGGTAATATCCGTCTGCAGCTCTGGGTTTTCAGTCTGCTTGCGCAGTTCCTGGGAAACAAATTTAGCACATCGCGACCGACGATGGCTCTGAGAATGACATAAAATACTCACGGAAAGCATCAAAGGATATTTGGTGAGCCGCTGGAAAGGCTTGACAAAGAACCCATTAAGCGTTGAGGGTTGGGCCACCATCTGCTTCAAATCAATAGTCCTCGGGGCTGTATGAATTCTGTCCCATTCCTTCAAGCAGACTTCGTCGCAACGCATTTGGTTTGCGATAAACGGTTCATACTGCCGGAAAGCATCTTCGTGTTGGATAAACAACTCGCCCCAGTTTTGCCTCTCTTCCGGCAAGGCATAATGTTGCTCAATCCGAATCAAGAATCGTTGGGCGAAATCAAGGAGATTGTTCAAATTCAAAAAGATCTGATGGCTAGGGTCGCCGGTAAGAGCCCCGGTCTCCTCCAACTCTTTCTTAAGTGCTTGTAGATTTTGAAGATGGTGAACATAGTCGCGCTCCGTCTCCAATAACTCCTTAAGAATATGCTCCCTCTTGGTAAGTTTCACAGTTCCTTTTTCCGGGACGCGCGATGAGACATCGGACGTTCGCTTCAGCTGACCCTGCATTTCTAGAATGTCCAACACACGGTTCACCATCTTGATCACTTTGATAAAACCAGTTGTACTCTCACCATACAAGTCGGTGATGAGGAAGCAGTCTTGTTGAGGAAAGCCCAGCTCTTTCAGAGATGCCTGTAGGAATTTGAAGGTGGCAGCCTTAGGACGTTTTGCTTCGGGGACCTTTTCAGGATCGACCTCGAGGACCTCTTCAGGGCTTGAGGCGTTGTAGATGGTCAACAAGGGGTACCCTTCCCGGAGGCAATTCCATAGCGACGCCACAGGGTCGGTATTTCCCTGTGCGAGATCCTCTTCATCCATCTCTCGTAAGTGCGATTCGAAGGTCGGGAGTTCCGCGAGGCGCTTCTTGAGATTGACGCAGCTTTGATAGATCGACTCACCGCCGCGGCGGTTGATGATATTGTCCTCGGCGATAGGACCGCTTGTCATGACTGCGGTCTCCGCCATTTCGACTGCCGGTCGACTGGGACCGTGCGGGGAAACACCGACAGCTGTATGGGGAAGATGGTTCAAATCTGCGCAGCAGACCAACGAAGGAAGCGAGTGGACAGAGACGATAGATGTGGTTGTACAAGAATCACGTCGAGCATGGATTACGGACTGCGAGCCGGTGGACCGATGCGGGATGGATGGCGCAAGCGAGCAGCTAAGGAGTGAGTGGAGATAGTGGTATGTTAACTATCCCTAAAGCTGAGTCAAAGGACGGTTCCGTGTCTCGACCTTCTGTAGGTTTGGTTTTAGAAAAAGGAAAAAAAAAAAAAAAAAAAAGGTCAAATGTATAAATACCCTAGTCTAGGAGGATCGAGCGACTGTCTGTTCTTTTCTAAATTTTCTTTTGTATTTCTTTTTTTGCTTTTTTTGACCTTCTTTTTTTTTCACCCAAAGGTCAAAATTTCTGGCCCTTGCTGGCAACAGCCTCCAAAGACCGGGAAATTTGGGAGGGTTCAACGATAGAAAGGGTGAGTGTGGGGTTTGCCGCTGCAACCAGGCAAGCGTAATAGAAATCCAGAAGGAAAGGATCAAGAACCGTCTTCTGGTGTAAGGCTTGTAGTTGAATAGTAAAAATTGGAAAATAGTCAACAAGGAGTGCAAAGCGCAGAGTAGAAAGAGGCCAGAAAGAAAGAAAGAACCATCAAGATCGATCAGTATGAGGGATGGCAAGAGAAAGGAGACATAAGAGGGAGGAAGAAGAGGGAGCGAACGAGCGGGAAAGAGACTAAGAGAGAGAGAGAGAGAGAGAGAGAGAGAGAGTCCAGGCCACCAGCCAGTAAGGAAGTGATGTGGTTCACTTGCCAGATCGGGGTAGCGCGCGTCAGGCTCCTTAAGTTGGCTGGTGAATGTTCAATTGCTTTAGTGGTTGAAAGGGGGCATCAGGGGAGAGAGGGGGAAACACAAGAGATGGTGGAGTGGAGGGGCCTAAGGGCATAGTACTACAAGTACTAGTAGTATTTCGCTCTACATAGTACTCTAGTCTAGTGCCCAAGTCAGTTAGTCTACTGTACGACGGGAAGTATGTATGTTGTTGTATCTACTGGGAATGTATGTCCAGGATGAAGTATACTACATACCTTCCAACAGTAGTTAAGAAGTTTAGCACATACTTCAACCTCTGACTGGCCAGTAGGGCCCTTGTTCACCTACATAAAGCACATTAATAATAGAAGAGGGGGGCGCAATATGACCTTGAAGTCTTCCTGGTATGGTGGGTGAATTTCAAACTGGAGACCAGTGCAAAAGCCGGGGTTGGGTTCACAATCCCATTCCTTGTCTGAGATCTTCCCAGGTTTCCAAATGACCGACAGTAGGGGCTGGGCATGAATATCGGATGCACATCAGGTTGCATGGAGACTCATCTCTTACATGAAGTGTTTGAGATTTTGACTAGTCTGAACTAGCGCGATAATTAGGCACGGGTCATATTATGATTTTCCCTGCCGAAGTATCAACCACTTTTGGGTCCATTTACGAAGTGGGGGGCTCAGTCAGTAAACAAGACTTTTTACAGCCGCTGTCATCAGAAGTTGTTCAATCCTGGTGTGATGATACTTACTACACCTCCAACATGATATCTTCTTCTTTTTCTTCTTCTTCTTCTTCTTCTTCTTCTTCTTCTTCTTCTTCTTCTTCTTCTTTTCTGTCTCTCTTCTTATTCTCTTTTTCAATATTTATGGACCTAGTTTTCTTTAATTTTAAAATTTTTTAATTTTTTTTTTTTTTTTAAATAAAAAAAATTTAAATAAAAATATTATTATTAATATTATTATTATCTTCCTTGATCAACCCCTGCAGAATGGGGCAAGGAAGGAGGCGTCGGGGCGAGATGAGGGAATATAAATAGAATTAAATTGAATTGAATGATTGTATCTTTTGTTCAGCCCTAACCTATTATCTTCAGATCCAATTAGAGTATTCATGTGACAAGTTAGTAGCATCTGTACCTTGCACAATTGACTACTCTGTACAAACCACAGGGAAACTCAGCGCCGAACCAAAAATGCCAACAAACAACAGTAAAACCGATGGAATCCAATTGAGTCCTAGGGCTATGGAGTACTGTCAGAAGTAAGACGCGGAATATTGTCTTAGGAGCTAAATTGATCTTCTTCACTTCTGACGGTGGCTGGTCTCTGCTAAAAGAGCAGTTTGCGGGTGTTGTTTACCCTTTTGAGACCATAATAGCGTATCTACTCAGGCTATATACATACAGCAAGCAAGAGCAACCGAAATGACATCGTCCGTCACCTGCCAGATGTGAGTATTAGTAGAAAGTAGGATATGAGGTTGGTCGTGACAGATGCTCCTCAGACAAAGTTGAACAACTGTTCAATCCATCTATTCCTTGAGTTTCTCCAGATAACTCGGGTGGAACCTGGGACAAGCACATTGTAACCGTTGCTTGCTATTCTTTCTTGTTTTCATCTATACTACACAGTAGTATTACCCCTATGCTCTCGTCAGCAACTCCGGAAAGGGTATACACACTACGGGGCAGTCTCAAGGAACTTAGCTGTTTCAAGTAATGATGATCTGCTCCGTATCGGAGTTCTACGTCGGCTATGGATCAAATTGAGATTGCGCCATAGCTCCTACACAACCAACAACCAATCCACAAGGGTATGTGGAACGGTGGAGAGAAAGAAGGTGCCAAATCTAGGTCCTTTTGGAGATTACTCTTGAACCATTCTTGACAGTTGATAATGGTACCAAAGGAATCGAGTCCAACTCTCAGCTAAAGACCAACAAGCAATGGCCGGCAAAATTGGACCTGAGAGAGGGTTTAGGATATATTAGCGTATCATCAAAGATAACGATGAAGGTTACATCCTCAATTCCAGCAAGTTCTCACCGCTACAGGAAAGCATGCAGGTTGTATTACCGGATGCTTGAACCCTTGGTCCGGTTTCTGAGAGGCTCAGCGATGATATATATGTTCAGGTTCAGGTTCCTCGGCGCAAGTAGCTGCAGTGTTAAAGGGATACCGCTGCATGTCACCGGAGGAAAAGCCTGAAGGAGTACGTATATCTATAATCAGGATAATATTGGCCAGAGAGGTTACCTGGATGATCTAGATCCAGTCCAGCGGTACCGAATGTAGAAGATTATCTTGCTGAAGTATGTATGTAATGTTTGCTTCCTTCCGGGCCTTGGTAAAGACTACCCCGGCTGTACTGAAGGAAAACTAAAAATCTGACGTGACCCGTACCGTACTTGGAAGAAACAAACAACAACCTGTGTCAGTCTGACTAAACCCGGTTGGGTATCGATAGTCAAGTCACCTATCAATCCACCGCCAACGCTCTCTGACGACAGTCCCTCCTCAATATGGCCTTCGATCACCCTCTTTAAGGCCCTTCAATGCTGAGCTACGATATATATCTCGTTCATGCTTGTTCTTGAAAGCGTGAAGTGGTCTACTTCCAGGGACACAGGCAATTCGATATTCGCCTGTTTTGCTGCCAAGTAAGAAGACAAACAACACCAGCTAAGCTGCGCGCCGACTGAGCTGAGGCTTGGGCCATCCCTCCCGTGTTAGTTCAGCCAAAAAAAAAAAAAAAGGTGGATCTGACTACTGCATATCGACCCTCTTGTTACAGTGAGGAAAGAACTCATGGCTGGAGAGACGACCGCCGCCAATTATTCCCCCGACCTCACCGCCCCCTCATTATCTGCACCTTACAGACTGGACGAGGGTTACTCAGACGAGACCAGAAGCCAGGTGGACAAGGAACTTGTGGAGCCGCCCTCGGATGATGGGATGCCTCTCCCGGATTGGCTTCTAGCTAATAGCGAAGAAGATAGGGCTGGTGCGTTGAACTTTCCCGCCAGCCAGCGCCGTTCGCGTGTCTGGACGGCGAGGCTGATGCCTTCTGCCTTTTGTTTGTGGGCATTTGTGCTTACAGTTCATCATGTATAGAGATTGCCTACAGCTTATTACGCACACTATCCACTTCTACCGTGGCCGCGCTTGTCGACCGCCTTGCGCCTGTGTTGCACATGGATCCCGTTGTCAAACTCCCTCCCGAGATCACCTCCGAGATCTTCTCCTACCTTGATCCTAAGACTCTCTTGACAGCTTCATTGGCATCTCGCGCCTGGCAGGGCCGTATAATTGACTCTGGTCTGTGGCGAGGAAAATACATCGATGAAGGCTGGCGCGTCGATATCGAGGCGATCCGTTCATTCGAGGAAAGGCAATCCAAACTGTCGTCCCCTGCTCTTCGTAAATCCCGATTAAGGAACGCCGATACAGATGTCGGAGAACCGAAGAATAAGAAACGAGTACCTCCAAGCTGGTTAGACTCGCGAACGACAGGATATGTGGGCAGTTACATAATCGGGCGGCAAGATGGACAACAAACGTCTGCGGAGGCCGACACTGAGGGTGATCATCTCATGAGTGATGTCGCAAATGACCAGAGCGAGTCAACTGCCTCTGGGCACCAGTTAGACTCGAACAACATTCGAGGGTCTCAGACAGACCTCTCTCGCACCGCGCATGGACCCACGTCCTCATCAGCTCACTCGGCCCCCAAATCATCTATTTTGCTACGGATGCCTAACGGTGGTGCGAGAATTAACTGGCTTCATCTCTATAAGCAACGTAGACGGTTGGAAGAGAATTGGAATCGAGGTCGCCTCACGAAATTCCAGATTCCCCACCCTGAGCACTTGGCGGAGTGCCACCAAGAATGTATTTATTCAATCCAATTTTGGGGAAATTGGCTGGTGAGTGGTAGTCGAGATAGGACTGTCCGAGTTTGGAATATTGATACACAGAGACTGCGCTATCGTCCTCTTGTGGGCCACTCCAAATCGGTGCTCTGTCTCCAATTCGATCCCCGACCTTCTGAAGACATTATTATGACTGGGAGCAGCGACAAGAGCGTCATTTTGTGGCGGTTTTCCACCGGTGAGAAACTCAAAGAGATTGCACCGGCTCATCAGGACTCTGTGTTAAACCTCAAATTTGATGAGCGTTATCTTGTCACATGTTCCAAAGATAGGCTGATAAAGGTTTGGAATCGGCGTGAGCTCATGCCCGGTGACAAGGACTATCCTGTCGTCCATCATGGGGCTGGGTCTATATTTCCAGCGCACATTGTTGATATAAACGAACTTCCTTCCCCTATTACAGAAACCGAGCTGGCCAAGCGTCACATACGCAACCTTGCTCCATACTCTCTCTTGATGACAATCGCAGGGCATGGGGCTGCAGTTAATGCTATCCAGATAAGCGAAGATGAGATTATTTCCGCCTCAGGTGACCGGTTAATCAAGATCTGGAACATCCGGAGCGGTGTCTGCAAGAAGACCCTTGTGGGCCACGACAAAGGTATCGCATGCGTTCAGTTTGATGGCCGGCGTATCATCAGTGGAAGCAATGATGACTCCGTTCGTATTTTCGATCACAGCTCGGGCGCGGAGGTTGCTTGTTTAACTGGTCACGCCGACTTAGTAAGGACCGTCCAAGCCGGCTTTGGTGACCCACCAGGAGCCGAAGAGGCTATGAAGTTGGAAGCTCTGGCCGTTGATAACGAGTTCCTCGATGCTCGGCGCTCCGACGAAGCTGTAGACTATGGTCCAAGGGCTCTCAGACGTGCCGGCCACCGCCAGAACACGGCCGGTTCCAGAAACCCAAAGGACATTAAGGCTTTGGGTGCTCATATCCCACCGGGAGGAGGCGGAAGTAAATGGGCTAGGATTGTTTCGGGTTCGTATGACGAATTAGTGCTTGTCTGGAAGAAGGACAGAGATGGCGCCTGGGTTGTCGGCCAACCACTGTCTCACGTGAAGACTTTGAAGCAAATCAACGGAGAGGATACTGATGATGAAATTCCTCCTCCTCGTGGTCCACGGAACGCCTTTGCCCAGCAGGCTCAGAGAAATCGGCCTACCAACCCAGCTGCCGGCCCAGCAACGAATCGTCCTCAGCTTCAACAGCACCTACCAGTTGTGCAGGCTCCAGGAGCGGCGCACCACCATCACCATCACCACGCAGCGCGGAACCAACAAGCCCGTGGAAATAATAACAATAACAATAACAATAACGACAACAATCCGCCGCCATCCTCCAGGGTCTTCAAGGTCCAATTCGATGCGCGGAAAATCGTCTGTGCCACCCAGGACCCAAGGATAGTGGTATGGGACTTTGCGGACGACGACGAAGAGATAAAAGAGGCTTCTCAGTTCTTTACGGGGCTTTAATAATTTACTTCGTTTCCCGGACTTCTGCATATACCGTTAACGACATGACGTCGGTCTTGTGGCTTTCATTCTCCATTCTATATTAGCATCCCTTCTCCTTCGTCTCCCATTCTTCTTGGTCTCTATTTAGCCCAATTGGATATTGTTATCGATGGTCATTATTGCATGTGAATATTAGGGCCTACGATCTCTTTGGAAACTTTCTGAACTCATCATGGGCGTCATATGGAATGTCTTTGAACTTATGGTTTATTCTCTAACATCTATCGTTTCCGAGCATTATTGCATTGAGGAGTAACGGAGTTGACCGGTTCATGTCGTTGCAGTATCAGATATGGAAACTCGTATGAACAGCCGTCAAGCCATGGATCTCTTAGTTAAGAATATAGTAGAAAGGTGGCGTAGAAGCCTCCCTTTCTTTCATAGAATGAACCTTATCAACCACAGCTCTCTAAAGGGTTACTTCATGAAGAAGAGTAACAATAGTGGATCCTGATGAATACAGACCAGCATAATCCAATATCCGCAAGATCCTTCATGGCAGTGAAAAAAGATTCCCGAGTGAACCATGTGATTCATACAACGCCTGATATCCAAAACCGCAAATCGTGACAGCGGTTAAAGAGATTCCTGGGTCTGTTCTAACCATGTGGAGGATCCATAATTACGAGAGGAGATAAAAGCTCGAAACGACGTCCACATGTTCGAGCAGTAACGCCCAAACTCCTGCACCGCACCTTTCTTGACATGCGAAGGAGCCGCGCTGTCGTCCGAGACCCGGCTCCTTGCAGTAGCATATGTGTCATTAGAAGCAGTGTTCACATATACAATAGTATCCTGCTCATTCCTGGCTCCCCCACAGCAGCAAAAATAATAGTTAACAATATTTGAGGCCTGTAACCAACGGCCGCGTTGGCCATCAAGCGTGACGCATCCTTCGTGGATAGAAGGTTCCGCTGTTGATCGTGTTTGTGTGGGGGAGCAACCAGAGGGTTCAGCAGCTAGTATAGCGGACATGTCCATCACCAGAGTCCTCCTAGCCCCTGGCTCTAAGGCGCGTCCATCCGCGGAATTCGAGGTTGTCGCTGATTGAGTGGTCACCGAGCAGCTTGGCCCGGGTGAGATACTGCTAGATATATGTTGTGGACGAGGAACTGGTAAGTGGTTTCCTGGGTGAATTGAGTTCTGCCGCTTGATATGGGAACAGTGCTCTGTGTCTGATGGTCTAGTCTGAACCGCGGCGCCGCCACCCTCGTCAATGCCACCACACTGAGCCATAGAAAGGTTCCTCCGATGGAATGGATGGTCGTGTAATCTACCATTCGCACCGACTCCATGGGCACTATGCCTATGGGGAAAGCGCCCTTGGACCACAGTGCTATCAACTGCCCTCACAACAGTGCATTCTCGTCCAGTAGATCGAAAGGCAGAGAGTGAAGAGATACCAAAGAATCTTCGAAGTGACTCTCCGTAGGATTCGACTCTATTACCATCAGCAGCGTTACTACAACGGCCACGTTGCTGGGATTGCCCATTGCTCGGTGCTGAATGGACAGGTAATCGCGCAGAGCAACGGACTGCCTCTTCGCTGCCGAAAGATGGAAGTCCCGGAGGTGTGGGCATCCTTACTGGTGGTGGGTACGTGGGTAGAACAGGACTCGCAGGGGACGCTATACTTCCCAGCCATCTGGAAGCTTTCACTTTTGCATCTGCATCGTTGACACTCGCCGTTTTGCGGTGTCGCCGTTGGTCGAACCGGTCGACTTCTGGCGACTCCTCTGGAGTCGGCACGTTTACTCGTTGTCCGTCATTTTTTTGCGACAGTATATGGCATTCCGATGTATTTGGCTTTGATGGATTACCTGCCATGTACTCGGGCGTGGGAGCGACAAACATTGCCATGTTTGCTGCCATTCTGCTATTCAGGGTACAACTCGACCTAGGCACAAGGTCTTCCAACCCCGAGCTTGCCCTTGCGGCATTGTATATCGAGCTTGCATCGCTTGGACTCGACCCAGATGACTCTCTGGTCGAGGCTGGGTTGGATGTCGCTCTGTTCTGCTGCGGGACAGAGTCCGGGGTGGTTAAAGGAGAGCGACATCGCAGATCCATTCTGAGGCATCACAGATCTGAGAACGGGCATAGGATCAGTCGAAGTGTAGTCAACGAAAGACACAGATTGACTTGTGAGCACGGGATTTGGAATGTCACCGTACCTTCCAACCTGGCTAGGAATCCAATCGAGAAAGAGCAGCACTGAAGTGAATCAGAGGGAAAGAACTACCTTTGGTGGACTGATAGAGGTAAGCCGAAATTATCGCTCCAAACATTAGTGGCAAGTATGTGTGCTTCTGACAAAACCACAGAATTGCGATTAATTATAAGATAGTCACCAAGCCCATTCGAATAGTAGAAATACATTTAACAAGCCCCTTAGAATATGAACAACATGAGGGATCATAAACGGTCCAATATATACCCAGAATAAATAGACATTAATATGTACGATGAAGAGAATATCAGCAAGATGAAGTGACCTCAACCAAAATCGGGTGGCTTGAGGATTAACAAGGAGAAGTTTAGGATATCATCATCGTCATAAAGCCGTGACGGACTGATTCGGATCAGCTTTGCTGGCTTGCTCCTTTTTCAGATTCCTGAGCAAAGCCTCCAGCTTTCGGCGTTCTTCTTGCTCCGCCTGTACTCAAGTCAACCCGAGAACCTTGCTAGAGAAAGGATAACAGTGTACTCACCTTCAGTATCTTCATATTCTCAGTCCGCGTGTCACGCATCATCTTCTTGAATTCGTTCTTCAGCACCATGGTTGATGTCGTCTCATATGTGGTTCCATCTCGTCCCATTGACGCTGAGTGCATGCCCATCCAGGTGATCCGCTCTTCATTCAATTGCGTCTCCAGTTGCTCACAACGATCCCGAAGCGCGTCAATGAGGCTCTCAAACTTCTCGCGTTCTTTCTCAAATTCGATACTAGCTTTGGTCATGACTTCATAGTCATCAATCGTCTCGCGAAGCTCCTTCTCCAATGTCTCTACGCGTCGCTGTGTGTCGCTGTTTGCAGGCCTACCGGCCTTGAAAGTGGCCAACTCCTGCGCCAGCTCGATATTACGGGTGGTCAACACCTCGAGCTCCTTTTGAAGGGCAGGGTCGACAGCGGCTGCCCGTTGAGACCGGCTACCATAAGCACCATCGAGCTCAGCCTGGGCCATTGTAAGTTCAGTTCGAACCCTCACAACCTCGCCTTCGAGCTCGGTTAATTCCGCTTGCAAGCGTGCCGCATTCTCCTCAGCGTCTGCCCGAGCCTTGGTTGCCTCGCTGAGCTGAGACTCCACGTCGGAGCGTATTTGTTCTATCAAGGTTTGCAACCGAGTAATTTCATCCTCGGCCTGTGTGTGCGAGTCCGTGGCCTCCTTCAGCCGTGCGTCAGTTTCAGTACGGATTTGCTGGATACTCTCCTCAAGACTCGAGATCTGTTTTGCTGATCGCTCACGGGATTCCGTGACCTCCTCTGTCTTTGCATCAACCTCGCCACGAAGTTGGTCGATCGCAGCTTGTAAGCGCGCGATCTCACCATCTGCTTCGGAGCGTACCGCAGACAGTTGCTCTGTGTGACCGTAGGACTCGGATCGAATCTGTTCGAGTTGAGATTCTAAGCGGGCAACTTCGGTCTCGGCACGGACGCGTGCTTCATGGGCTTCCGCGTGAGTCGCATTTTCTTGTTGAAGTTCTTGCATGATAGCCTGCAAGCGGGCGATTTCAGCTTCAGCGAGAAGGCGTGCTTCATGAGTCTCAGCGTGGGCATCTTTCTCGCGCTGGTGCTCTTGGATGGCAGGCTGCAAGCGAGCAACTTCAGCCTCTGCACGAAGACGCGCTTCGTGGGCTTCGGCATAAGCATCTTTTTCATGCTGGAGCTCTTGCACAACATTCTTCAAACGAGAAATTTCACTTTCCGCGTGACGATGTGCTTCCTGGGTTTCGTTGTGTGCATCTTTCTCGCGCTGGTGTTCTTGTACGACCGCTTGCAACTGGGTAATCTCGGTTTCAGCGCGAAGACGTGCCTCATGAGCTTCAGCAAGGGCATCTCTCTCCTGTTGAAGCTCTTTTACGACGGTTTGCAGACGAGACACCTCGGCATCTGCACGCGTGCGAGCTTCTTTTTCAGATGCGATGGCTTCCGAATTGGCTTCTGGGATGGCCCGGTGTTGTTGATCTGACAATTCCCGGCGTGCAGCCTCCAGTTGCTCCATCGTGTGTTCCAGCACATCTTTGGACTGTTCTCCTTCTCGCTCCGCCAAGTCGAGCTCCTTACGCACACGAGCCAACTGCTCGACCAGGTCGGCGATATGCGCATCCCTTTCCGCGTCTGATTTGGAGTTGAGCTCCCGCTGCTGTTGAATTTGAGTAGTAAGGATGCCCTTCTGCTCAAGCAGCCCTCCCAAGCGCTCATGGAGGCCGTCGATCCCCTCGTTCAGGTATGAAAGGTGCTCCTCAAGACCTCCGTTAGATATAGCAGGTGGTGGTGGAAGGGTCCGCGAGCGCGGCAAGCCCGACTCGTTCACAATCTGGTATAGTCGAGAGTTGACCTCTGCTAGCTGTTGATCGCTCCCGTTGTCCATACTTCTGGTAGCGGCGGTGCTATTGGAGTGAGTCGCGAGTGCACCGAGCCCGCTTTCAATGTATACCATGTAAGCTTCAATAGTTGCGGTAGGGTTGAGCATGGATCCCTCTGCCGAGAGTTGTGGAACCGGGGCGAAGTCACTGTTGGGATTGGACTGTAGAATCATATCATGCATCTGCCCACTTAGCATCTCCAGTTTTTTCTCGGTATTTTGGATCGTATCGAGGCCGACTGCCGGTTGACTCAAATGGGCCAAAGGATCTGGCCCTTGAGGCCCATGCCCGCTGAGCTCGTTCAGATGATCTGACGTTTTGTATAGGCTCCTATCGTCGAAGTCGTCGATGCTACCACGGGGGTTATGGCTGGAGAGGCTCTCAGGGGTATTGGGCACATTGTTCTTCGGATATTTTTTTAACCCTTTATGTGTCATCTGTAGGACGCCAGCAGTATGCTCCAGTAATCGTTTTTGAATCACCTGAACTCTGCTCTCCAGGTTCCAGACTTCCTGCGAAAGCTCCTCGCACTTCCGCGTGCTCACTGCTAACTCCCCATCCGTTTTGTCGAGCGTACTTGAAGCGCCATTGCGACCGAACATGCTCCTGCGACTCCGGTTGGATTTCGGAGAACCTCCCACATCATATTCCTCGCTTGACCTGGCGCTCTTTGAATTATATAGCCGGCTGAGGGACATGGCTGCATCGCGAAGTTTCGTCTCCAAAGCCAATTTCCGTTTGGCAGCCTCCAAGCGACCCGAAAGGAACTTAGACTCTTTCTTCAGGCCTTCAACCTCCTCCAGAGACAGGACCTCATAATGCACGCTGTCGCCCATAGCGGTTTCGGTCAACAAATACATCGTCACGGGATCATTGCCGTTGAGTAAAGCCGAACTTCTTGGATGCGTTGTGTTCAACTATGGGCGAGCAAAGGCGTCGGTAAATGGAGGACTTGTCATGGGGGCTTTAAGAACCACTTACTGGATTATAGCGCGGAGTTTCCACATTTTTCAGGTTGGGAGCGCCATGGTATCCGTCCATGAGAACCTTCGTTGGGGGAGGTTGTGGAGCGCCAAAGGAGGCACCGGAAAAATGCCTTGGATCGCCATAGGACGATTGACTGGATCGTAGGTCGAAACCACTCATTGTGGATACAAGTATGCAGATAAATCGGCGAGGGAAATTATGCGGGATGGACTAGTGATCGAAGGTCGTCGCAAGAAAGAGTCCTAGACAGTATACATCCTGAAGGGGGCACTCCGTGTTTATTGTTACAGGAGGTGGCCGAGATTCAGACACGCGGTAGAGGGAGGCGAAGTGAAACAGAGTTTCCAGTTAAAGGAGGGACAGGAGCAAGGACAGGAATAGAACGAGACGAACCGGCGGAGTAATAAAGGGAGGAAAGGAAAGATGGTTGGGGGAGACAAAGTTGAAAGCGAGGATGGAGTCGAGACGATCTGCAAACTACTCCGTAAAGAGTGTCGATGCTCAGCCACCCAGCCAGTGGACACGAACCATTATAGGACACTTTTTAAATCTTCAGCGCCACTAGCGAAGGCAAGAAAAGAAGTAGAGGGAAACCAAAAAGCAATTTCGATAGATCCAATGCAATGTATGTCAGCATTGGACATGGATGGACCATGAAGAAATTACTGGAGTTGTAATATTAGAAAAACAAAATTACAGAGAAGCGATGATAATGATCGCATTTCAACCATCACCGGCATTGGAGAGAGCATGGATGATAGCAATGATATACAAACCTGTCTTTTTCTTTCTCTTATTTTCTTGTAATTTTCATTAGAACCTTCTGAATGGGTGTGAGAAAGGTAAACCCGGCACAATTCTTGTCACCACCAACAAATCGAAAGTTGATAGAGATCGCGCAGGTCTCCGAGCAATCAGATTGATCTTCCGTGCCCTCCTGCAACCCTGATCTCCAGAAAGTGACGTATAATGTCCGTTGGAGGCATGTTGGGTTCGCTGTAGGTCAGTCAGTACCGTCTGGAAGGTTGTTGTTAATATTTTCTGAGGCTTTGCTCGATAGAAAGATCTTCGGATTGGGAAGGCTTAAAATAGTCCTTCGGAAATTGATCTGTGATGAGCCATGGATTGTGAAACACTCAGTGCAATTAAAATCCGACTGGCGATACGGGATGATGATTGGACGGCCATACATTAAGTTGCCTGGGACCATCTCCAAACCTGGGGAGAAATGCTCCAGCTCGTTCACTGGTTCAACTTTCCTTTCCATACGAAAATCCACTCCAATCCAAATCCATCCACAGATCAGATGCTCCCTCATCATGTGATGGAGATTCACCTGACGAGAGATAGACAAGCAAAAGGTTACATTGAATTCTCGCTTGTCAGCTCCTGCAATGTACTCTGCAAGTATCTGCACCCAATTATCGGGCTTCTTTAATTTAAACGAATGCTCAAACCCCGCAGTCGGTCTTCGCTTCTCAAGCCTCGGGCTGATGGAGCCCCAATAATGGGCGAGGCTGACTTGATACGATTGTTCTCGGTGCCCTAGCTCAGAGACTAAACCTAGGTTCTTCCATCTCTGGGGTACTTTTGACTAATGTTGAATCATGCCCCATGTGCGCTGTAACCCCTGTCGGGTCATTCGCAACGGCGCCCTCCGGTTCTTTAAGAATACCGACTTATATCTGATTGCGAAGGACCACTTTCTTCCATCTTATAGAGGAATTATGTATAATAGAACCAACTAGCCTTTCCCATCATGGCCTCCAGATCACAAGATGCACACCATACCTCAACTCCATCGGATTTCCCACCCTCGGGGCCTGGCTATAAGGTCTACAAGCGTCGCTTCTTGGGACTGGCCCAGTTGGTGTTATTGAACATTGTGGTCAGCTGGGATGTATGTGATCCCCAATCTCGTAATCACCAGTGCGATTACACCGTAGCCTTTGCATAAGAAGAAGCAGCGCCATGGACTAAAATCTCATATCACAGTGGTTAACCTTCTCCGCCATATCCACCACTGCCTCTCAGCATTTTGGCGTCTCCGAAAGCGCAATCAATTGGATGAGTACAGGATATCTGTTTGCCTTCTGTGCCGCTAGCCCGTGCGTCTTCCTACATTCGTATTCCACCGTGACATGCAACTGACGATATGTACCATACATGCCAGTGTCGTCATTTTCACGCTCAATAAAGGTGGCCCCAAACCAGCCATTATCATCACTTCCACCCTCCTGTTGGTAGGAAATTGGATTCGATATGCAGGCACCAAAGCCCGTGGAGGCATGTTTGGTGTTGCCATGTTCGGGCAGATCCTTATCGGTTTGGCTCAGCCGTTCTGTCTCAGCGCTCCCACACGGTACAGCGACCTATGGTTCTCGGACCAAGGGCGCACCAGTGCCACGGCCGTGGCCACATTAGCCAATCCATTGGGAGCAGCTCTGGGCCAGCTAATCGATTCCTTCTGGGCGACGAAGCCCAGCGAGGTTCCCGATATGGTTCTGTGGATCTCCGTCATTGTAAGTGTAATCCCAATGGAGAAGAAGAAAGACGAAAACATCAAACCTATCATTGAATGTCCTCCTTTCTTCTAACAAGGCCCAATGTAAAAATTACAGGCAACAATCGCCGCCATTCCCTCCTTTATTCTCCCAGCAAAACCCCCGACACCACCCAGTGCATCCTCAGCAACAACCCGCACGCCTCTCCTCCCAGCAATAGCCCAACTTTTCAAGACGCTAGAGTTCTGGCTCATCCTCATCCCCTTCTCAGTCTATGTCGGCTTCTTCAACAGCGTCTCCTCCCTCCTCAACCAGATCCTCGCCCCCTATGCCTTTACTGAAACCGAAGCCGGGATCGCAGGCGGCGTCCTCATCATCGTCGGTCTAATCAGCTCCGCCATCGTCTCCCCAATCACAGACCGCTGGAAACACTACCTGGTCACCATCCGCATCCTAGTCCCCATCGTAGGAGCCTGCTACATCGGTCTGATCTTCGCCCCATCCAGCCCGGCGGGCATCGCCCCGGCCTACGTCGTCTGCGCCCTTCTCGGTGCCTCCTCCTTCGCCCTCCTCCCCGTCGTCCTGGAGTATCTCGTTGAGATCACGTATCCGTTCTCCCCCGAGATCGGGAGCACAATCTGCTGGACGGGCGGCCAGCTCCTCGGGGCCGTCTTCATTCTAGCCCAGGATGCACTCAAGGCAGGCCGTGACGCTGACCCGCCGGAGAACATGAGAAATGCGCTGATCTTCTCGGCGGTTATTGCTTGTGTTGCGGTGCCGTTTCCGGTCTCGATTGGACTGTTTGGGAGGAATGTCAGACGTCGAAGATTGGATGTGGATAGAGGGGTTGATCTGGAGGGTCGTGAGTATACTGATACCGGTCTTGCGGGGAATGATACCCCTGCACCTGAGACCGAGTCGAAGTTTGGTTTTAGGTTTTGGTCCAAAAAACAATAGTTAGCAGGAAGGAACTTCCTGGGTTAAACCAGGCATTTTTTTGTTATACCGGTTGTTGTCGTTTGGACTTAGGAGATGTGTATATAATTGTCATGTATATGGCCTAGGGTTTGAGGGCCTCAACGAGAAAGAGTACGCGTGGTATAAACCTTGTGCGAGCCCGTTTCTGACAAAGCCCAGTGGAAACCGAAGGTAGCAGTAGTAGCAGTCTAAGAGACAAAGGCCATTCGTTCTAAACACAAGGAAAATTAAGAAGCACAGTTCACAAACATGCAATTACCCAGCTATCTGTACATACACAGCGAAGGATGTCATTCCCCCATTCTCCGCTTAACACAAATCCCACATTGGAGAGGAGTCTATTCCCATTCTATGCGAGACACTTGAGGCCGACAAGCGGAAACAGCCAGCCGCCATGACGTTTTGTATTCTGTGAGTTCCCTCCACAGCTCCCCCTTCGTATCTCATCCGGATGGTCCATACATGATGCGCCATCGTTAAACTCGTTGTCATTGAACCATAAGAGAAACGTGGCGGGAATTGTCCCGGGGCGAGACGCTTATTTGAGGGACTTCCAGAGCTTGGGAGCGGCGCACTCGGAAGCGCAGTGGGCAAGGTGGAAGACTGGAGGGGGGGATGTCAGTTTCGTTATAATGATTACTTTTGGGGCATTCGATGCGTGGACATGTATGGTTGGCACATCCGCCAGAGTAAAAGTCCCAAAGTAATAGAGAATAGAGAAGAAGGCACTTACACTCCTCAACGCAGTCCTCCTTGGGGCCCTTGTAGTCGGCGTCCTCCTGCTGCTGAGTGACACGCTCGACGCACTCATCGAAGTGGTGCTTGTATGGGGCGCACTGAGCGGAGTTGGCACATTCTAATACCGCCAACGTTAGTCACCGCACATATGAGACGTGAGATTAGGATGACAAAAGATGGGTTTGTGTCAATGGCATGTGCAATGCGGACAAATGGAGATCAGGCGTGTGTTGGCCGAATCGTGACATTGCCGCGCAACATGACAATCTAACAATGCGAAGATGAAGACACGAGATCTAATCCAAACAAGCGACTCACCCTCCTCGAGCTGGGGCTTGATGTCCTCAGGCTCCTCTTCTTCTTCCTCTTCCTCTTCCTCTTCTTCCTCCTCCTCCTGCTCGGGCTCCTCCTCGGCAGGCTCCTCAGGAGTCTCCTCGGCGGACTCCTCAGTCTTCTCGGCGGTCTCTTCGCTCGACTCTTCGGTCACAGCAGGCTTCTCCTCGGTCTCGGTCTCCTGACTGCTGGACTGCTCAACGTTCTCAGCGGGAGCCTCAGCCTGGGCCTCGGGGAGGCTGAAGGAGGAGATGATGTCGGAGAAAAAGTCGGAGATACCCATTTTGATCTGCGTGGAAGTATCAATTGAGGGGATTGGAGGGCCGGGGTTCCAAAATGTGGGGGGTGCAAGCGGCAGCGACGAGCGAGGTTGATGAGGTTGATGGTTTTACGAAGCTTTGGCTCTGCCGTCCAGGAAAATCGGAACAGTCCGGCCGCCGGCGAATGTTCAATTATCGCACACGTGATTGGCCGACGCTTCGGTAGGGGATTGACCAATGCAGTAATCCTATTTTTTAAGAAATAACAATCTGATACTGAGCCTTTCTAGTTGCTACAAATGACTAAAATTGTATATTCGCTAATATATGTCTTAAGAATAGGCTCTCCGATCCTGGTCAGGAAAAAGAAAAGAAAAGAAAAAACAGAAAAGTCAATGGTGTTTGAACACACTAGGTACCAGATTGGGCCTTTAGCAATCAGGTGTACTGTACAAGAACGGGTTGTCGATAGTCATTATGATTCATTGAAAGAGAAAGGAAGGATGAGATATATCGAAGCAAAAATGCGTCTATTTAGGCCCAGGGATTAATATATTTCTCAGCTAGCACGACGTAACCTTTCTTCGAGCTCATCAGCGACACTCTGCTGCTGAACTTCTTCGTAGCCTGGCGGCGGTCCCATTGGAGACGATTCTGAAGTAGCACGTCTGTCCTGAGAGCTTAATGGAGAATGCTGATTGTCATGGTTAGCGCCAGTCGAATCATGTACTGGGCCGGAGTAAGCGGGCAATTGGTCCAGATGAACAGTAGACATATCAACATTCCCAACACCTCGGCTACTTTGCCGAGTATTCTCAAGAGCCACTCGTAGGCGTTCTTTGATCTCTTCGAATTTGTTATGATAGTCGAACGCGCCTCCCTCCTTGAAAGTCACCTTCAACAGTAATGCGGGCAATGACGAGGGTATCCCTCCACCAGGTACCGGCTGGACAAGAGACTGCCACACATTTGCACCAAAAAGGGGGGCTGATACATGAGTATCATGCATGTGAAGAAGAGGTGCAGAGAATGATTGGAAGTCATTGGACTTCTTAGCAGGTATATATACGACCTAAAATGAATTTACTCTGTAAGCTCAGGTAAAGATATGCAAGAGGTCACCAAAAAACCATGTCCAAAGCGAAACCGATATGAGGGGAAAGTACCCGATGATTCGTAAGATAAATTCGGCCTGAATCACTTTGCAATGATATGGCATCCTTGCCTTTATATGAGTCGAGTGGTTTTAGAGAAAGGCAAGTGCGCGGTGGGGACGTATATATCAAATGCTCATGAGGAAGACGGACAAAGCCTTCATGCTCATGTAGCATCACCCAGCTGCTCGACAGAGTAGGTTAGAATCAATCCCATATCTTATCTTATTCCTTCACCTCTCTAAATTGGGCAGAAACGATATAGGGACAATTGCCCGTAAGGACTAAAAAAGTGGGGGCTGAAGCCAAGTGGGAAGAGATCAAGAAAAATAAATTTGTATAGGGTCATGCCATATACATGCTCGGAGGTCAAGAATATCTGGGAGTGCGAAGTATGTACCAACAATGACGAAGACTTATGAAAGTTGGAGTTGTGAGGGGTCATTCACATACTTGATCGACATCTTTACCCAATCCGTTCCGTTAGCAATTCCAGTATGTGACCAGTAGCCTTAACCACAGAATATCGTGCAAAGTGTAGGAGACTGATCGTCACCGATTCTGATTGATATCGGTTGAGAACTAGTACCCTGCAGCTATAGGCTAGGGTAGTGAAGACAAAATATCTTGTCAATTGATATCGTTGAAACTTTGAATCGGCAAAGGGCGAAATGTTGGTCGATGCGGCCTGTTCGATACTGATTGATAAAAAAAAAGAAAAGAAAAGAAAAGAAAAATAGACCAGGAAGATGACACTAGTGGGTATAGGTAGTCAAGCCGTATTAGACCCTAGCAACTCGTAAGGGTATATCAACTCAGGTACTGGGAGGTGGATAATGGATTAGACCCGCTTCACGTAGGCAATCGCCACGCTGCAACCTGGAGCGGTGGGTGTATGTAGGAATGGAAAGTGGATCGCCGGACGTCGTCGTCTGTTTGGGGTGATAGCAAAAAAGAAAAAAAAAGAAAAAAACAAAACAAAAATTCAAAGTTAGTCCGTTCAGTATAATCTACTTTAGACTTGGGGGTCTAGTGACGGTGATAAGGACGAGAAAAAGAGTTGGGGTCACTTTTTTCTCCTCCGCGGGGCTGATGTCAGGTGGAGAAACCCAGGGGGAAAAAAAAAACAGGAGATGGAAGAGGCTCTCGGAACCTAAGACCATAGCATCAATGATCATACTTGGTATCCCAGAACTATTTACAATAGTTACTATGGAAATCTGTCATGCAATTCTAAGACACAGATTAGATCTCACTTGAATACCTTGTGATATACCCCATAATACCTAATGCGCATTCTCATCGTCAATTTGATTAGAACAGTCTACGATCCGGTCATGACTACCTATCTACTCTTTCTAGCCTACCTTCCATGGATATTATGCTACCGAAGTTTGGACCTGAGGTTATCAACTGAGATGTATTCTACCTTTTGAGTACGTATGTAATTATTTACAATTGGACGGAACTGGAGATCAGAAGGTTCTAGGCTTGATGACTGTACAGATGGACTTCTGACTCGAGGTACCGAAGAAGCTAAGGTAACTACGGTAGGCTATTATGGAAGTATTGTTTCAACCCGAAGTCCCGAACAAAGGACAAATAAAGGGGAAAAAAAAGATTCGGGACATAATACTAGTATGTACTTTACCACTTCTACTACTTAGATACTCCGAATACTCCTGCGACTGAGTAATGAAGTGCTTTTTTTTGAGAATAAACCAGATTGAGGTTCCTCGACCCTTACCCCACAAATTCCGGTAGGTCGACTCATGTCCCGTGGTTATGTATAGATTCCGCTAATACTCATAACAGATCCTCACCTTCTACAACCGGTGCAGCGTCTTTATGCGCTACTAGTAATTCCCTGATCTCCTATAGGTGACATTCGGGATATATTGCTGTGGTGTGACCTGGTACATGTATAAGTCAACCCGTCAAATGGTACGTGGTTCTAGAACCTGCGACACGGAAATGACATAAACTTTCCTGTAGCTTTACTGTTCTGACATTTAACTGGAGTTGCGGTCGGACCGTTTAAATTACAATGGGTTTACCTCATTTTTTTCCACCCCCACCCAGCATTTACTAGTACTCTCCGTAGTACTCCAGATCCATGTCATCCATGGAGCCAAGGCCTCTGTCACATGGCTCTGGTTGAACTCTCAACTTTTCTTCCCACCCCAACATGTGCTTTCTGGACACATGAACAGACTTGACACAATCTGCACAATCAGTCCGGAAGGGTTCGTTACACTGTGAAAACCCCAGGTAGACATTCGGCCTCTCCATTGCTGATGATCTCTTGAAAGCTAACTTCACTGTGTTTGCATCACAGACAGGCTGGTAGCAGTTCATGTCTCGCTCGATCGCAATCACGCGCGCTCGTCATCTTGTCAAAGAATAACACCACTGAGCTATAACTACCTACCTGACCTTTGCTTCTAGCCAACCGGGGTACCAGCCTTTCCTCTCAGCAGATAGGATCACCACCAAACCCTCGAACGGCATCATGGCCAAGCAACCGTATATTCCACCGTTGATCGGGTGGCTGTATGACCTGGTTCTATGGCTTTTTTCCGTTCTCGTAGACCTCTTCTTTCGGGAGGTACATCCGCGCGGCTCCTGGAAAATACCTAGAAAAGGCCCAATGATCTTAGTTGCAGCTCCTCATGCGAATCAGGTAGGACTGTCTGGTCGATGTCACTTTAGTCTGCGGTGTGCAAGCTGGCTAATTATCTGGCACCATTAGTTTGTGGATTCGTTGATCCTGATGCGTGTAATGCGCAGTGAAGCTCGCCGCCGAATTTCATGGCTCATCGCAGAAAAATCGTTCCGTCGCAAATTCATCGGCTTGTTGGCCAGGTCTATAGGTACTGTACCTGTTGCCAGAGCAATGGACAATATGAAACCGGGCCAGGGCACAATTTATATGCCCGATCCTATCAACCAACCCACTTTGATTCGCGGAGTAGATACCGATTTTGAAGGGGTAGGTTTTGAGAAGGACGGAACAATAGCTCTCCCTACCATCAATGGTACTTCACATAGTGCGACTATCGCTGAAATCCGCGGGCCGGCAGAGTTAATCCTAAAGAAGCCGTTCAAAGCTAAGGACCCCCTCTATCAGCTCACTGGGAGGAAAGACATTACGGATGATGGGCAACTCATTGGGGATGCGTCAGATACGGAACCCAAATTCAAGGGCTCCAAATTCAAGGTGTCCCCTCATGTGGACCAAACAGCTGTGTATGAAGCAGTATTTGCTAGACTCAATGCTGGAGGATGTGTTGGTATTTTCCCCGAGGGTGGTAGTCATGATCGTACAAACTTGCTTCCGTTAAAAGGTATTTCTGTTGATTCAACCCTGCGAACCTTGTCCTTTGTCTAACCTTACTTAGCTGGTGTTGCTTTGATGGCTCTTGGTACGTTGGCGGATAATCCAGATTGTGGCTTGAAGATTGTGCCCTGTGGAATGAACTATTTCCACGCCCATAAGTTCCGCTCGCGTGCAGTTATTGAGTTCGGAAATCCCATCGAAATCCCACGGGAGATAGTCGAGCAATTTAAAAGAGGAGAAAAAAGAGAAGCTGTTGGTGCTGTCTTGGACACCATATATCAGGGCCTGGTTGCGGTTACTGTGACGAGTCCTGACTACGAGACGTTAATGGTGGGTGATTATTCGCTCAAGTTATGATATCTGCCGCTAATGAATCCTTAGGTTATTCAAGCTGCCCGTCGCTTGTACAATACCAAAGGGAAGAAGCTCCCGCTCCCCATGGTTGTTGAACTCAACCGCCGCCTTGTGAAAGGATATACGCATTTTAAAGACGACCCGCGAATCGTGCATCTGCGAAAGTCTATTGCAGAGTATAACCGAGAGTTACGTCTTTTGGGAATACGCGACCATCAGGTTGGATATGCGAGGTTTTCTTTCATCAAAGTCATTTTCACTTTGATCTCTCGCCTAATCAAATTATCTCTTCTAACGATTGGAACACTGCCTGGCTTGCTCCTCTTCACCCCTGTTTTTATTACAACCAAGGTCATCTCCAAACAGAAATCTCAAGAAGCATTAGCTGCCTCTACAGTCAAGCTACAGGGGCGAGATGTTATGGCAACCTGGAAACTCCTCGTTGCCCTTGCGTTTGCCCCAGCTCTCTACGCGTTCTATACGGTGGTTTTCACCATATGGGCCTACCATAATCGGATCCAAAACACTGTCCCAGAGTGGATGCCGCTGTGGTTGATTGTGCCCATTGGCATGGTTCTGTTCCCTACTATCACTTTTGCGGCCCTTCGCATCGGAGAGGTTGGCATGGATATACTGAAATCCCTGAGGCCACTCGTGTTGTCCTTGAATCCATCCTCGGCCAACTCTCTGGTGAAACTTCGCCAGAAGCGTGCAGCCCTTGCCCAACAAGTTACCGATGCCATCAACACATTGGGACCGGAGCTGTTCCCTGACTTTGATGCTGCGAGGATCGTCACCGATCCTTTCCGCGAGATCAATAAGCCGGCTGAAAAGGCCGATGGTGAGCCTGTCCCGGTTCCAGAGATTAGGAGAACTACCACTACAGACTTTGAGCGAGGCTCCATCTCACAAGAGCCTCTTCCCCGGAATGAGTCATTCCATAACCTTGCAAACATCGGCTTCTTCTCCACCCGGCCCTCAAGCCGTAGTCGCAGCCGCAGTAGCTCATTTGGGGGTCGGCCTGGTTCTTCTGGGCAACAACTGAAGCCACTCAGCCAGCTTACCTCAAGTGATGGCTTTGAGCAAGTTAGTTCAAAGATTCGAGACGCCATGCGGCAGCGCGGTGAAGAGCGCCGGCGCCGGCACAGCGACGACAGCAATAGCTGGGACATGGCTAGCTCTGGTCCAGGGACACCTTACAGCGAAGAGAGCCGGAAGGATATCTAACGTAGCAGATACGTCTGCTTCTGACAAGTCTTTATCTGTTCAGTTTACCGTACGGTGGTGGCGGTGTTTGGGCGTTTTGTTCTCGTATCTGAATTTTGGGCGCTCCGTTGACAAGGGAAGATTTAATCGCTGAATACCCAACATTTGAAATGTAGATAGTGTGGACACTTGAGCAAATATAAAGAATTGATTTGGGTTGTTCTTGACTATACCTCTACTATACCAGTTATGACCCTCCTCGATCCTCGGTCAACATGGACGGGTTCCGTACCGTAACTCGGGTGTAATTTACACGTGGGCCAAAGGCGACGGCGGACCGATGAGATGGATTTCCGACCCACCAGCGTGGTTGAAGGAAGGTTACGTCTCCCAAATCACAGTCCATGAAGTATCCTTTTCCTGTTTGCTCGAGCACACTCTCGCTGCCTTCAATTGATCTTCTGGATTCATTGGCTCGGGGGACTTACCACTCGGTTGTCTCTATCACACACTTGTTCGCCTTTGCCAACCAAAATTAGAACAACTTTTGCACGTGGTGAAAGAAAACAGTGTAGCCTGATGAACACAGCCCTATAACAGAGGATCTCGCGCCGTCTCTAGTTAACCGGTGGATTCTAGGATCCGAGAGACCTGTCGTCGCTCAACCTTACCCTTTAGACCGTTCGCTTTTGGTCCCTGACAACTATCGACTTCGTCCTTTGCAACGCCTCTCACCACGGTTTTCTTTATTTGCCCCTTAAGCTCCTGAGGTCTTCGCTAGTTCCTCATATTTGTATCGATCAAAATGGCGACGTCAATGCACCTGTCAAAACTTCGGAAATGGTTCCTTGCATCTCCGCCCATCGAGATGGCTATATCGAAACTCCGAGAGCTGCTGATTGGAGCAATCAAGCAGGGGCCAGTTCCACAACATATCGCTTTCGTGATGGATGGAAACCGAAGGTTTGCAAGGACTCATGGGATTGAGACAGTCGAGGGACACAATCTGGGATTTGAGGCGCTGGCAAGGGTAGGCGCTGATCTTCTTTTCATCATCCTATTCTCCTACTTCCTTTCCACCGCTCTTCTCTATTCGGCAATCGTCTAGCTAGTTTTCTATATCAAACAGTCCCTTGCGTTCTCCGAACGTACTGCCCGCCGCTCTATTCCAGATGCATGATGAGAGAGATACTAATGGTGTCTACAAATAGATTCTTGAGGTCTGCTACAGAAGTGGAGTCAAAGTTGTCACAATTTACGCATTTAGTATCGAGAATTTCAAACGCTCCAAGTTCGAGGTGGATGCTCTGATGGAAATGGCTAGGGTGAAGTTGTCGCAGATGGCCCAGCATGGAGAGATACTTGATCGATATGGCGCAAAGGTCCGGGTGTTGGGTCGGCTGGATTTGCTCAGGCCTGACGTCCTCAAAGCGGTGAATCGGGCGATGGAGATGACAAGTGCCAACGGCGACCGGGTCCTCAACATCTGTTTCCCATATACATCGCGCGACGAAATCACCAGTGCTATCCGTGACACCGTGGCAGATTACAGCCAACCATTAAGACCGCGCTCCTCATCCCTACGAACGCCGTTTTCCGAGAGTCATATTGCGCTTAATATCCAAGCACGGAACCAAAATACAAAGGCCGAGGATACAAGTAGCGATATTGAATCTACTTCCGAATCCTCATCCCAGGGAGAGGAAGGAGCTGCGAAACACGATCGTCCAAATAAGGTCTACGAGACTGGTTCTGCCTTCTCATCATCTACGACCCTTGATCTCGCTGGCCACCAGGATAGTATGAGTGTGAAGAAAGCAACCCAGGGCGCTAGTGCCGAGTCGGAAACCCCAGCGTTCTTGTCACCAGAGACTATCACGCGGCAAACCTTATCAGACCATCTACACACGAAGGACAACCCTCCCCTGGACTTGCTGGTCCGCACGTCTGGAGTGGAGCGTCTTAGCGACTTTATGCTCTGGCAATGTGATGAGGACACGGATATTGTCTTTCTGGACGTCCTCTGGCCTGAATTCGATCTATGGCACTTCCTGCCAGTTCTGCTAGGGTGGCAAAGAAGGGTTTCGAAGTCGAGGAAGAATCCGGATGCGGAAGGCGATTTCGATGGCGACGCTGCCGGATCATCTGAAAACGGTTTGAGCGACCAAGTCTTGAGCCCAAGTGCAAAGGTCAAGGGCTCGTGAAGCAGAACCATTATCCCCCCTGGCCTGGGGAGCCCGGGCCCAGCAAGCATTGGAACATACGGAGTTTGGAGTTCGCTCCTTTGGTACTGATTGTTAGACGGATATCCATGTCTCAAGTTTTTGTCATTCATTACCCACCGCTGCATTTTCTTCTGGGGAAGCGCATACATACATAATGAATATAGAGCCAATCCACATCACTCTAATGCGTTAAGCACGTCCTCTTAGTTAATATGATAATCCACACCTCCGATACCGCCGACCCCAAGTGGACCCACGTGACTGAGTCATCCCACAACTGCCGGCGGGGAAGACCAACAAGATAACTGACTCTCTTTCTTTTCCTTCTCCGTCATTTGACACATACTACTCATACATATCCCTCTCTCGAATTGTCACAATGCCTGGTCAGGTTGCTGGTTCCAAGGTTCTCCTTCTGGGCTCGGGTTTCGGTCAGTCTCCCATCGCATTGGCCTCCATTCATATATCTATCATTCAGAACTATGAGGAGCCCCGCATTGAGCTCAACCACTAACTGAATCTTAGTTACCAAGCCCACCGTTGAGGTTTTGAGCAAGGCCAACGTTCACGTCACTGTCGGTATGTACCATTGACGCTTCTATTCACTTGGACCTCCCTCCTTTCTCTATCTTCGTCATCACTCAACTGTCGCATCGGCGGATGGAGGGCCTTGGCTATCATCCTCTCTGATCAAGTTCCAACCGACGCCTTAAGAGTTATATGATCTCTAATGTCTGGTTTCTACACTGCATTATAGCCTGCCGTACCATCGAAAGCGCCCAAAAGCTCGCTGAGGGTTTCAAGAACACCACAGCTATTGCCTTGGATGTCAACGATGCCAACGCTCTCGACAAGGCTCTCGAGCAGGTCGACCTTGCTATCTCCTTGATCCCTTATACTTTCCACGCCCTTGTTATCAAGTCCGCTATCCGTACTAAGAAGCATGTTGTCACTACTTCTTACGTCTCTCCCGCAATGCTCGAGTTGGACGAGGAGTGCAAGAAGGCCGGCATCACAGTCATGAACGAGATTGGCTTGGATCCTGTACGTACTCTCGGGCGGGTGACGTTTGTTCATTAGCTTACATTCTTGGCTAACCTGCAATTAGGGTATTGACCACTTGTATGCCGTCAAGACTATTGACGAGGTACGTTTCATTTAAATATACTATCAGGGGACTCCATAGAACTACTGCTAAAACGTGGGAACAACAGGTCCACAAGGAGGGTGGCAAGATCACCTCCTTCCTCTCCTATTGTGGTGGCCTTCCCGCTCCTGAATGCTCCAACAACCCTCTGGGCTACAAGTTCTCCTGGTCCAGCCGTGGTGTACTTCTCGCTCTCCGTAACGCCGCCAAGTTCTACAAGGACGGCCAGGAAGTCAGCGTCGCCGGTCCCGACCTCATGGCTACCGCCAAGCCCTACTACATCTACCCTGGCTTCGCCTTCGTTGCATACCCCAACCGTGACTCGACTCCCTACAGCGAGCGCTACAACATTCCCGAAGCCCAGACCATCATCCGTGGCACTCTCCGCTACCAGGGCTTCCCTGAGATGATCAAGGTGTTGGTCGACATCGGTTTCCTGAGCGATGAGCCCGCCGACTTCCTCAACTCCCCCATCGCCTGGAAGGATGCCACCAAGCAGATTTTGGGCGCTACGACGGCTACCGAGAAGGACCTCGAGTGGGCCATCGCCTCCAAGACCTCCTTCGCCAACAACGAGGAGCGCAACCGCCTTATCGCGGGTCTCCGCTGGATCGGCATCTTCTCTGATGAGCAGATCATCCCCCGCGGTAACCCTCTCGATACCCTCTGTGCCACTCTCGAGAAGAAGATGCAGTACGGCCCTACAGAACGTGACATGGTTATGCTGCAGCACAAGTTCGAGATCGAGCACAAGGATGGCTCCAAGGAGACACGCACTAGCACCATGTGCGAGTATGGTGAGATCGGTGGTTACTCTGCTATGGCTAAGACTGTCGGTGTACCCTGTGGTGTTGCTGTCCAGCTGGTGCTTGATGGCACTATCAACAAGAGAGTACGTTCTTTATTTCTATCCTAGCTCTGAAACCACATGAGATGAAGGCTCGACTAACGATTTGTTCTTAGGGTGTCATTGCTCCCATGACCTGGGACATCTGTGCTCCCCTAATTAAGACTCTTAAGGAGGAGTACGGCATTGAGATGATTGAAAAGACTCTGTAAACTCGCTCTTGTTAGGGTGTATACGATTGAACTGTTTAACGATCTAAAATGTTTATAAAGGGTTAGAGAAACAATTAACAGGGTCAAGGGAAATTTGATTCATCGTAAATAAGTGTGATTATCAAAAGCCATACAGACAGAGATAGGGTGTATACAACCGTGGGGTTTCGTTATTGATTCGTTTTACATTGATCTTATCATGGATTTCTATCGTGGAATCGTCGAACCATACCCTCAGATGCAAGAGGGGAAGGTGTATCACAAAAGGCACAGATGTGAGGTACAGAGTGTCTGCTTTCCAAGAACGCAATTCAGTCGACCCAAAACATAGATACGCCAGCCCTTACAGGGCGCGTTGATCGCAGACAGAACCAGGTCATCTGTACACACCATCGGCGTTCGAATCGTCAAACTTCCAAAGATGGGCGCACGAGATCAGAGGATAGTGCCAAACCTATAGCAAAAAGAAGTACGAAGAGCGAGATCAGCCATTGCCTCCAATATTGGAAACGAGAACTGGGAGCCATGGTAAGGAAGATTTGGCTACGAAACACTGCACCGAGGGGGAACATACCCGAAAGTCTGCTTGATACTGCGAACATAGTACATTTCCCAGTTCTGTTTGGTGACATCCTCCTGGCCAACTGGGACTCCAGTCCAAGACACACGCATTTGGGTGACGCCGTCGACATCGTTCTGGTCAAAGTTGATCTCAAGGGAGCTGAAGTGACCTTCGGGCCACTGGGCCAATCGCCACTTCTGCACGATCTGAGTCGGTTTCTCCAGCTTAGTATATTCTCCGGTGACATTGCCATCAAAGATGGCGAACTTTCCGCCAACCTGGGCACCCTCGAACTGACGAGGCGCTCCGCGGGTGAAAGCGGCAATGCGCTGGGGGTCTGTAAAGGTGTTGTACAATTCCTCGGCGGTGGTACGGAACTCATCCGAGGCAATCACGGTAGTAGTGTTGACAGCAACCTTGCTGCCGGTAGTAGTAGTGGTCGTCTTGGGGGCAGGAGTGTCCTTCTTAGTCTGCGGGTGATAGGCTGGGGCGGTGAAACCCTTAGATGGGTTCTCACCGGGGGCATGCTGGATATCCTTGCCGTGCTCGCCGATCAGGGCGGGTGCAAGTTTAGCCAACTCCTGTCTGAGCTGGGGCAGAAGTTTCGACCGCACGAGGTCTTTCACCGGCTGCTTAGAAGAGGATTCAGAGTAGATGTCAATCTCAAACTACACCAGACAGGAAGTGTCAGCACTACCATCCCCAGTTGGCCGTCTCTGAGAGGGAGAAAGGGAACATACAACATACTCGTCTTCCTCTGTGTCGTGGGCAACCTCGGGGATGGTGATAGTACCGCTAACGGACTCCTCGTCCTTGGTCTTACCTGTCCAGGAAATTTAGTTGTGCCCCGGACAAGGGAAGCACACAATACGTTCACGAACCTTCATACTCTAGCTGTACTTTGACATCGAACAAGGTGATGACCTTGCCTTTTCTCTGGCTGACGTCTACGTCGCCATCCATAGACAGGAGGTTGGAGATCTTGGCGGTGACACCATTTTCTTCGGCGGAAAGCGCGCAGAGCTTCTCCTTCAGGTAATCCTTGGCCCATCCGGAGGCATCCTTATTCACCCAGTGCCAGTTGTTGGGGTTGTGCAGAACCATGATGTTGGTATTTTAAATAAATTTATTATGAACTGCTAGTGGGTCTTGATGTAAAGATTAAAAAAAAGAAAAAAGAAAATCTTCTCTATTGCAGTGTTGACAAAAGACACCCAACCCTGAATGGATGGATGGGAGGCCTTTCCTCTAAGCCTGTTCCAATGCTAGGTTCTGCAAAATCCAAGTCAGTACATCTAGTCTGAAGAATCAATTGATGCATACAAGACGAGGTGCATAGGATATTTCTCAGTGATCACAGGTAGCGTTCCCGGACCGGAGCTAATCAACACAAAAGATGAACCGAAATCCATCTTTTCTCTGACTGGTGCCAGCTATATAATCTCATCATCGAGGGGCAGACCATATCCAACGGCGGGGCAGTTGGATGAGGTTTTGTGGGTTGGGGAAAAAAAAAAAAGTCTGCATCCGTGGGGAGGGGATGAAGAAAAGAAAAGTTGGGGTACTCACAGTTTTACGGCAAGACGTCTCGAATCTTAAGACGCTGTAAAAAGTAGATCAACCAGGTCCAATGCGGTAGAGAAAGGAACAAGAGGAAGGGAAGTACCGCGGTGGAGTTGGGGGGAACCAGAGTTTACTTAAATAATACAGTGTATCCCCTCAACCGAAGTTGAAGGCGAAAGAGAAAAAAAGGATTCGGAAGGAAAGCTCTAGAAGGTAACCATGGTCACGTGAGCGCTAGTCGTGAGAGTGGGCGGAATGCACAAATTGGTAAGCAACCCTAAGAAGTTGCATAGTAAGTTACATACATCACGGATAGCAAGGACCTGTAGTAAAATGGGTATGTACTTGATCAACACAGTAGCGAACGAATAATTTGGGTATCTTCAACAGAACAACATAAAGCAAATCAAATCAAAGACTGGAGCCAAGGCTCGTCGGGGTAATATGGTCATCACACACAATTCATCCAACGCTCATCACTCCTGCAATTGTTCCAGCTCCTCCCATCCAGCTTCATCCATAAGCTGTTCCTTCACACGCTCTCGTAAGCCTTGTATGGCGCTTCCCAGGGCCTCCGTCCATTGCCCTTCCACTGTAGTGACTTTATCTTTTAGATCATGTGTCAAAGACCGCTCCTCATCCGCGCGGGACTCTTGCATTTCCCGCCGTACATGGTCTTCGTCCTCTCCCAATCGGACCCGTTCAGCTATCACAAGCTTGCAATTCGCTCTCATGACAGCCGACTTAACCTCGTGTAAGAGGCAAAAGAGGTTGGTCTGCGATTCGATATATTGGTAGCTAGATTTTTCCGCATGCGAAAGAAGAGTGTAGAGATATTGCAACGGATGATTCTGGTAACTTGGATTTTCCTCATACTCATTCGTAGGGATCTGGAGCTGAAACCCAGCTAGACTCACTGGAACCTGCTGGACCAGAGTGAGGAGAGACGGTGCAATATCCCAGAAGGCGGACAGCTGTATCTCGACCCCTCGAACCACGTTCTCTTCAACCACATTCAAAAAGGATTCAAGCCGAGCCAATGCGCTTGCCTCGTGGTTAACGCGGCGGTTCAAGGCATCTTTGGCAAAGAAGCTGTTCGTTTCCCGCACTTTCTCCTCGTTCGCGTTCTGCTGATAAGGCAGTATGACCACGGTCTTGTACTTTTCATCTCGGTCGCTGACTAGGTCGTATGTTTCGCGATGTAACTGCTCTCGAGCTTCAAATAGCCATTTGAGCTGCGTGAGTTTCTCTAACAGTTCAGGCTTTTCATCGCCTTCTTCTTGGGTCTGGTCGGGGGTCTCATTCTGAGCATCATCGAACAACTTGCTCTGTAATTCATCAATGGAAGCAGTGGCCTTGTTGATTCGTTCAGTGAGAATTGCATGCATCGGCTTTAGCACTGATTCTTGGTAGCCATCCAGCTCTTGTTTTGCCAACTCCCTCGCAAGCTTATTCTCTTCCATAATCAGCGCAGCCTCCGCCTCCGCGGCTTCTGCAAAACTAATGCTACCCTGTTCGATCTGGCTCTGGATATTGGCCTTAAAGCATCGACGGCTATCCTGCATCCTCTCCTGGTGGTTTTGCTTCAGGCTCTTCATATCCGATTGATGCCGTTCTCTGGTGGATTTGACAACAGAAAGATCGCTAATTGATCGAACTAGAGTACGATAGTTGACCAGATCTGGGTGGCTATTGTTGACGGCCGGATGGTGCCGAGGGTAAGGCGGTGGCAGAGTAATCAGCCTCGACACATCCATTTTGTGAGTTTCCTTGGTATATCCGTAGTTATTGTGCCCAACCGTACTTGAATAATCCGACGAGGCTGGCTCTTCGTGCCAGCCCACCTTCTCGGGCGGGTATTCATTCGGGCCGTAAGCTGCATACTGGTCTGTCGATTCGGATGCATAACTCATATCTCTGCCTTCTGCAGGATCTCGTCCTTGGGGCCACTGAAGAGATTCGCGAGGCAATCCCATATATTTAGATTCACGCTTTGAACGTTCAATTCTTCGTTCGCCTCCCTCGCTGCTTGATTTTGATTCCCACCAACGACTCGGTGCACGTCCTCGGGAGCTCATTCCATCATTGCTCATACTAAGGCTCGCTATCGGGGACAAGCAAGGTTGATAGTTGTTCCACCAAGCAGATTCGGGACGTGATTGGGGTATATCGAGCCTCGGAGCACCCCTTGATGGCCGCCTAGAGAGCGGAGCAGGCGAAGCCTGTGGCTTTGGAGGTTTTTCAAATAGCCTATGGCGCACGGTTTCGATATCCAATGAACCGGAGTCCCATAGTTTAGCATATCTCTCACGCCTGATCTGGGATTCAGATATAATAAACTCCGTGAATATTCTTAGAGCATCCGCTTCATCTGTAGCGTCTGCCTCCTTGTCTATAAAGGCCTTGTGTCTTTGTACGGCTCTCTGAACAAATTCCATGTCCTGGTTGACGACAGAATCCAAAGAGGGGCCTTTCTGTGATGGTACTCGGCGTGGGGCTAATGCTGAGACAGTAGCCAGAGTATCATTAGGCAAGTGTAATAAATGAGAAACCGGTCGGTCCTCTCTCGAACTAGGTCGAGAGGGTGGCCGTGTGTCTTGCCCATGTTGCAATGGGGGAGTCGGAAGGGCCCTTGGGGGCAAGGCCTGCGAGGCTGTCTTGGGGTATCCTAATGATTTCTCGCCACCCGGGGAGAACGGTGGAGTATGTGCAAATCCTCGGGCTGGTCCAACGGGGCTGGGCTCGCCTCTTGGAGTCGAAAAAGAAGATCGATTCGAAAACAATCCAGTCGACGAGGCTCTAGGCCGTGAGGTAACATGTTGCCCATCAGATCCCAAGCTATGACTACTCTTGGGGGTGGCTCTTGTAGATGTTTGGTTCCTTGTACTATCAGAAACAGCATTCGTGTCTTCAAGGACTAGATTCGATGGCTTTACTTGGTCCAGGGCATCGGCCCACGGGTTACTGTTGGTCGATACTGCGCTGAAGTCATCAAAAACTTGACTCTGTCTGTTCCTGCGCTCGATTCGCCTCTCCCGAATTCCTTTAGTGTTCGGGTCTCGAAGAGCCGGACTGCGAAACAGGCCATTGCTTGTGGAGTTTGGGTGCGCATGAGTTCTAGATCCATCTGCTCCAACACGGGACCCCGTGATGTTCGCCGTGTCAATAACAAGGGGCGTTTGGTCTCTTTGCCGGGCCACTGCGGGCCCTTCGTCCACCCAGCCAGCTGGAGTCGGGGGAATACTGTCCAAGCCAGTTCCCAGCACTGGAGGTGGTCGAGTTCTGCTACTCCTTGGCTGAACCTGCGAGTGTCGCAAAGACGTTGTATCGGACAGGCCACTGACACTCTGTGATCTCGTAGTAGGAGGAGGGCCTGGGGGTGGTGGTGGAAGAGGCATGCCAGGTTCCCACCCTCGTCCTTGGGGTGAGCTACTCCGAGACTGGCTTGCAGCCCGGGACGTACCGGCGCTATTCACAACGGGGCCCGCAGAAACGGCTCGCCTGGAGGTTGGGGGCCGCGTGACATCATCCTGTTGGGTAGTGGCCGCCATATAATTATAATTACTTGACTGAGATGGATGTAAATTGTCTTGTTGAGAAACCATAATATAGGGCCTTGATCCTGCGTTCAGTGAATTTGGCTCTTGATACACATCCGCTCTATGTCGAGACGATGATCTGGAAGATGACACCCCTTGTGATAACGGTGGAGGTGGCGGAAGTGATACATGTCTATTCTGCCCCGTGTCGCCCACATGAACCATAGATAACGGACGGGTGCGAGGGATGGGACGCTGTCCATACTCCGCGGGGGCATCAGTATTGCCATGTAGTACTCCATTATACGAAGATACCGCCCCTGGAGATGCTGAGCCTCTGCCTGATGTATTATGATTGGCATTATCTCGCGCATGATGCTGCTGCTGGGGCTGGCTTGGTGGCGAGTATGGCGGCGGCGGAGGCGAAAGAGAAGCATCTATATACATCATGTTAAGCGTGCCTTGATAAAAGACCTTTTGAGGTTCAGGCAAAGACCCAGGTATCCGTGATGACATAAAATTATTCAGAAGAAAAGCAGAAACGAAATTGAAAAATGGAAGATAAAAAATGGGCCCAACAGACCTGTATGAGATCCAGCTTGCCGCGACTGGGAAATGATTCGAGTCATGCTATTTGTTTGCGGATAAGTGGATTGCCCCGAGCCGCCTACAGGTCCCCAATCCTGGGGATTGTAAGGGACATTATACTGTCTGGCAGCCATAGATGATGACCCAACTCCTACGCCTCCCGGAGTATTAGTTGCAGGAGACTGGCCTTGCGTAAACGGGCTTGATAAGGAGGTCGTTGACAGAGGGGTCGACGAGTAATTTCCACCAAGCGCGACACCTAGTCCATGAAACTGCGGACCATTCAGAGTCGTTGTCAAAGGTGGCGGTTGCAGAGCATGTTCTCGACGGCTGGGAGATGGCTGATTGCTGGTACTGGCATGAGGTGTTGGCCAGGATGGCGGCTCGTCGCCAACGGTATTTGGAGGCCACCAGCTACTTGGAAATCGCAATCAGTAATGTGAGACGCTGAAAGCAGATCATTTCAAGGGAAGAGGGACAGTCTTGTGGGCATGAGGGGCCCGCGCACCTATTCATACTGCCGAAGAGATTAAGAGCCAACCAGAGATGAAGCCATGGCTAAAAACCGTGCGCAGCAATAAGATTAGGAAGAGGAGCAAAAGGAAGGCCCGAGCCTACCAGACGTGACAGGTCAACGAGAAGGGCAGAGAGAAAGGCGAATTTCCATTCTTTGCAACACGTTCCGTAGGCCAACCAGCCTGCACCCCCCAAGACGCATCGGCCGTTTTGACGGGGATAACGCGAGGGATCCACCTGAGATAAAAATAACACACCCAAGGCTTGGGTATCTGGGGCCACCTGGATGGAATCTGGAAGAGACAAGACTCTTCAGACACGAGAAGGGCATGGATGTGGTTAGTGAGCTGCAGCCTGGCAAGTTCATCACAGCCGGCGTCTTGTTGGCGCTTAGGGCACGGGATCTGCGGCCGCTCACTGGTCGAATACCCCGGCTTTCCTAGACCGCCCTGGCAAACCAGAGCCCTCATCACATCTTATTAGATTGATCCTGTATTTAGAACCAGGCTTGCAGTCGTTTGAAACACCCTAGACGATCAATTTGCGTGCCAGGGCCAGAACCGACTCTAGGGGAAAAAAGGATACGCAAAATAAAAAGGGTTTATATCTGCAAGTAATTGGGGGCCATGGTACTTTTAACTTGGCTCATGAGCGCCTACACGGTAAGACAACAGTCCAGTATTGACAAAACAGATCTTGTTCATTTTGAGTATTGCTAAACTTCAGCTAGTGCATATTGTAAACCTTGTCGCGGACGTATGGATGTGCTTAACCAGCGAAAGGCACTATCTTATCACTTGGGTCCTTGGGTCAATCCAATGAACCAAGAAAGCTTGAATGGCGAAATCACCTTTTCTTGCTATACATTCAAGCCACTAAAGCCAAAGTCAGCGCTGGAACAAGCAATTGCTGAAATCTGGCAAATCAAGCTGATGGAGGGTATTTCAGATTAAATGCCCTGTCACAGGCGGTGGTCATCAATGTATTTGATTATGTTGACCGTCGTGATTAAAATAAAAGAAAATCATCATTGTACAGGTATCAAGGCAGGGTGACGCGAGGAAAAGCAGATTCAACTTACATTAATTGATCCATGCCCGGCCAACATTGGTTGGCCAAGGCGAGGTGTTCTTGTATGCGATCTATAAAATCTGCGCATACAATCAGCTTCGATTGCTTCAAGGCCGTGACAGACGAAGACAAATTGTTGACTAATCAGTCGTGACAGTTGTCGTCCTGGCCAGCAATGCTGACTTGGACATATGCTTGTCATTTGTTTTAATGTCGATTCATCATGATGTCGAAAACAACTGGAGTCAGGGCAAGGTGCCTACATACAAGTAACTGGCCTCCTGCGAGCCACGAGACCAGAGGTCTGGTAAGCTAGAGAAGGTCTTGACTGTCTGTTGATGGCACGAGAGTCAGCAACGTTCACGGGAACTCCATTAAAATTTATGCCAAAGGTGTATGTCAGAAATGCATGAATGGTAAAAAAAAGATGGTGTCAGCATCGATAACTCGAATAAGACTCGTCATCTAAGGAGATCATCATGTGAGGCTTGGGAGTTATGAGACAAGTTGATATTTACCTTTTAGCTAACAGTTTTGATATATTATACATAGCTTATGTGACACTATCCATGACCATTAGCCCCAGGCTCAAGTCTTGTTGGATCAAGATATTTGGGTAATTGTGTGATCTCAGTGGGCGAGGTTTTCTAGGCCTGCCGCAAAAAGGGCATATCCATCAAGACCGGTCGTCTGTCGAACGCCGTCGGAGCCCAGTGCCGTTTCATCTTCGAAAAGGTGCAAAGAGATAGAGTGGTCGAGAGTCTTACCATCTAGAATAAGGCACTTGGAACCAAGGCATTCAAGTGTGCATTACTGGCCACCTACTAAAACTCTTTTGACCGTCAGTACACAATCAAACAAGTGAGAATGAGAGATCAAACGAATTAAATAAGGTAGCAGATCAGAAATGTGCCATAAGATGTATCGCCAACGACCGGAAGGTCTCAGTCGGTAATTTCCAGCGTATATGTTGTTGTGAAGCATCATGCTAGACAGTGTGATAGAAAAAAGAAAAAGAAAGCCAGGACGTACCATTACTGCAAGTGAGGATCGGCTCCTCTGTTTGTCGCATGTCATAGAATTGTTAGTCCTGTGGGACACAAAGTCAGCAATGTGCTTTCATATTGAAATGCAAGTGAGCAGAAAGCTTTCTTTGCAAGCAGATCAGACTGACGTGCAAAAACCGAGTTTTCATGCCAAGTAGGTCAAAGACTCTAGTTTGTAAATGGTTGTAGGTTACATCATGATGGAAGATGTGGAAGAAGATCAAATAGAACAAGTCAGACAAAGTGGACTTACCAAAGAGAGTATCCTGCGATGCAAGTCGCTAGTGATTAGTCCACGCCCAGTGTGAGCATATGAAATCATTGAGCAATTATATTTGTTTGGTTATACCAAGTCTGATGGATGTTGCAGCCCAACCATTTCAGGTGAACAACCATCAGCCAGGATTGTTGTTGTTGCTGTTGTGTGGGAAGGTGAAGTTTCGAAAAGAAAAAGAACAAGCGTGTCGAACTTTTTCAAGCTGCGCTCCCACCGGAGCTAATTTTACCGAGGCCTAATCCGGTTAGACGGGAACGAGTCACGGGATGTGAGTAGGTAATGGCTTAGATAAGCGCCGCCCAGTCAGCTGACCAAAAAAAGGGTGCGATCGACGGAGGAAAGAAACCCGAACAAGAGGCAGCGGATTGCTTCACAGAACGGCCGAGACTCGAATAGTTCAAGAATAGTTTGACGTGGGCGATCAAAAATTGTCGCGTCTGCTGACCAGGAGATATCCACTTCCGGCTATGGGTTTAATTTGCGCGAGAACGACCACGCAGACCAGGGGCTATCTGTTTCATGCGGCATTTCTTTGGGCAATACTACTTTACTGTATGTAACATGGTTTCAATCCCATTGTGTTGCTGATAAGAGATCGGACCTGGCATCGGTACATCCATGGGAACGCGTTACCTTCCCACTTGCCGACCAGTATGGAAACCATTGATATCATATCCAGAAGCATGGATAGTCGATCTCGAACCCATTCGAGTTTTCCCTACGGACCGGTTCTTGTACTGCGGGGGGAATCGGAGGCGGACAAGAGTAAAAACAGGGAAAAGCCGGGAGAGAAGAGAGCGGCGGGGACTGCGGGGAGGAGATGATTGCGTCAATGGAACGATCCCGTATTGTCCATGATCTGGACTGACGTTCTCCTTACTCACTCTTGGTCTCCACCGGCAAAATATTATTGCTCCTATGACCCTGTGGACGGTGATCATTAAGATCCTTCAATGATTCTATTTATACGGTTTATACTATTTATACTTCCTCTGTCTGCTCTTCCAGACTCCCAGTTTGGTATACTCTATTGATCGACCTAATCTCTGACTTACGTACTTGAATCCTACTCCTCTCAACCCGGCCATTATCACCTCACGTCCATTGGTGCCCTAGTCTTCCTGCTTTCTCCGTTGAACCGAGGTTGCGCATTACTTTAAACTGGCCCATTGCACCCCAGAACCACTTGATCTCCCCTCCTGAACAATCTGCGCATATCCCCCTCGGTGCTAAAGAATCCCAAATCAACATCATCATGTCCGGACACGAGAACAACGGTGCGCCCCCCGTGGGACAGGAAAATATCAACACAGATATCGTCACCCTCACAAGATTCTTGACGGAAGAACAAACCAAGGTGCCAGAAGCCACTGGTGACTTCACGTACGGTCATACCCATAGCCCCTGTAGCATCAGCACTGAAGGAAAGAGAAACTAACCGTTCATACCCACCCCTCCAGACTCCTCTGCCACGCTCTTCAATTCTCCTTCAAGTCCATCGCCTACTACATCCGTCGTGCATCCTTAATCAACCTGACCGGACTGGCAGGTTCCTCAAACACCACAGGCGATGACCAGAAGAAGCTCGACGTAATCGGCAACGATGTCTTCATCTCCGCCATGCGTGGCTCAGGTAAATGTCGTATCCTCGTCTCGGAAGAAGAAGAAGAAGCCATCGTCTTCGACGAGCACCCCTACGCCCGCTATGCAGTCGTCTGCGACCCCATTGACGGATCCTCCAACCTGGACGCTGGCGTCTCGGTAGGAACTATCTTCGGCGTCTTCAAGCTGCCCGACTCCGTTCTGGGACCCGAGAACAAGGTCTCCCCCAAGGACCTTCTCCTCCCCGGTACCGAGTTGGTCGCCTCCGGCTTCACCATGTACGGTGCCTCCGCCCAGCTCGTCATCACCATGCGCAACGGTAGCGTCAACGGCTTCACCCTGGAGAACTCTCTGGGCGAATTCATCCTCACCCACCCCAACATGACCCTCCCCACCAAGCGCGCCATCTACTCCGTCAACGAGGGTAACAGCAGCTACTGGGACGAGTGGACTAACGCTTACTTCCACTCACTGAAGTTTCCCCCCGAGGGAGAGAAGCCTTACAGTGCTCGTTACATTGGTAGTATGGTGGCTGATGCTTACCGGACACTGCTCTACGGTGGTGTCTTCGCTTATCCGGCCGACAAAAAGGCCCCCAAGGGTAAGCTGCGTATTCTGTACGAGTGCGCGCCCATGGCTATGGTGTTTGAGAACGCTGGTGGTCTCGCTGTGAACTCTCGCATGGAGCGCCTTCTAGGCGTCGTCCCTGAGCATATCCACGACAAGAGTGGTGTGTTCCTCGGCTCGAGGGACGAAGTGCAGAAGATCATCGACACTTATAACAAGTACAAGAAATGATTTGAATTTTTTGGCCCGTATGTGGCCGGCTTATACTCGTGGGAGGTCTGGTGATTTCACCACGGGATGGTATTAATGAGGATGGTCATGGGTATTTAATGTATGAAAAGCGTCCAAAGTTAGATAAATACTGAAATAAACATTTGAAAATCTATATAAACATCGCTTCTCTACTCGGGTTGATTTCCCTGATCTAATCACCTCGTGTTCTATTTGCGAACGCTGGGTACTTCTAAGTAGGGCGGATAAATATATCTAACCCAAATTCCATGTTGTCACAATGGGGTTCAATGTCCCTGGCTCTAAATCATTCCCAGTTGATTGGCACTGTGCTTGTTGGATATACGTTATCTATGTTTTAGTACAAGAAAACCGACCGCCAATGTTTAATCAAGCGAGAATATACTGACACAACTTACACCAAAGTCCAACATTGCAGGCAAACTCAAATTGAGTAGAATTGTTACAGTCTTCAAGTATATGAATGCACTGATGGTTTAGAAGCAAATAAACACAGGCGAGGTTATATATGGACAAGTTAATTGATGTCTAGAGTTTAATTGATCCCCACAGGGAACTACAGTACATATAATCCAAAATGAAAGGAAAAGAAAGAATGAGGACGCTC